AATTGGGAGGTTCACAAAATGCTGATCGACCAAGGGAGCTCGATCGACATCCTGTATTGGCCAACGTTCCTCAAGTTAGACGTCCCCCACTCTCATACAACCTCACACAGAGCCCCTAGTCGGTTTCGCAGGAAGAAGCGTTCACACTCGGGGGTACGTGGACCTACTGACAACTTTCGGAGCACCTCCGAATACAAGGCGGATGATGGTTCGATACCTCCTCGTGGAAGCCGACACCTCCTATAACATCATCATCGGGAGGCCAACCTTGAACCAGCTCGGAGCAGTGGTATCCACCCCACACCTCACCATGAAATTCCCAGGGCACGATGGAAAAATTATCTCCGTCAAGGCTTCCAAAAACTACTTTTAGGACCTACTATAGGCACCAAAAGTATTTGGTTATATTTTTTAGTGTGACCAATGCACCTGGAGTATTCATAGACTACATGAATAGAATTTTTCACCCCTATCTTGATAGTTTTGTATTAGTCTTCATATATGACATTCTCATATACTCTAAGATTATGGAAGAGCATGCTAAGCAAGTCTCACTAGGCACAACACCAAAACCTTACAAGTTACGTGGAGTTTGTTTATAAAGAAGGTCTAAGGGATTCATGAGGAAAGATTAGAGTGACAATATGAGTTATAATTATGTAATTAAAGGGAAAGGATGAGTATAATAACTAATAAAGAGATAAGAAAGTATTGGATGATGCTAGGTTGATACATTTGAGATAAATGTGAGATGAGATACTTATAAGTATTGTGATGAAAACTTTATATATATGTGATATGAGGTATTGTGTTGTGCCATTTTCTTATATGAATTGTGATGTTCATTTGTGATATGAGAACTTCATGAGATATGATATTTATGTATGATATGAGATGCTTATGTGTAGTGTGCGTGATGAGGTGTGATAAAATAAAATAACTTATGTGATGTATAAGATAAGAGGTGTTGTTGTTTGACTTGAGATTCTACATGCAACATTTGAGATGTTTGATATATTATGAGATAATGTTGATATGAGGAAGTCCAAGTAGATGTTTGGTAACAAGAAAATCTAGGAATAACTTGGTCATTTGAGAAGTCCAAACATAGAGGCCTAGGAGTGTGTTGGAGTTGAGATGGAACTATGCATTAACATTTGTTTGTGTTTGATCTAATCTATTTAGAGTTCATGCATACATGCATAGTTTGTCTGAATTAAATATAATGTGTGTTTTGAATTGATCACCATTTGTATGATCCTATAAAATTAATTGATGTTGGAAAACTCTTTTAAAACTACGATATGAAGAATAACACTAATAATGTTTATTACCAGGAATAAGATAAAAATTATTAGTCAATGTTTTATAAATTCGATTTAATGCATGTTGCTTAATTAACTTTACCAAGGAATTAATATTTTTATTAAGTAACCTAGAATTTCTAGCTTAGGAGATTATAGTTAAAATATTTTTGTTGGTTATTGAATTATAGCATGATAATTACTAAAATTGATTAATATTTGAGAATGATATGTGTGAGAAAGGATAATGAAATCAATATCTTTTATTATAAATTTTTATCTATCTCTTTAATATTTTTTTATTCTAAAACTCTAAAAATATGTTCTTTACTTTTATGCATTCTTTTAACTATATATATATATATATATATATATATATTATTCTTTATTTTTTTGGTTTTGTATTTTTCCTTTTGGGTTGGTCAAAATAAATTATAAATGAACTATTTTTTATTTGTTTCTTTTCCTTTTAAATTTTTATCATTTTATTTATGTTTATTAATCTAGACAAAGTTGAGTGTTCCTAACATAATTAAGGGTAACTTTAATCCATTATTTTGAAACATACAAATAATGGCTTTATTCAAAGAATTGGCTATTCATAGTACTCAAACCAACACGGTCCGTCGTTCTAAAACACAGAAAACAATTACTTTATTCAAGAACACCAGATAAACAACATTAGACTACTCATAACCTACAAACAAAAAAAAAAGATATCACATAGATAACACCATACATCCAAACATCAACCAAACCCAAACACATGTACCAACATGTATTAAGAAAAAGAAAAAGATAGAATGAGGTAGTATTATTAAAATAAGAGAGTCACTTATATACAAAATAAATACTAACAGAAAATAATTAAAAAGTTATATCAGGTAACAAATTACAAAATAAAAAATATTAATAAACTATAATACCCCTTCTCAAGGTGGAAATTATAGATCTAATATTCCCTGCCTGGATATTATAGATTGAAAAGTTTTAGTTGACAGAGGTTTGGTGAAGACATCTACAAGTTGGTGAGCTCACATGAACAAAGTTTCAACTTGGAAGATTGAATTAATTCACGGATGAAATGATAGTTGATATTGATATATTTAGAATGTTCATGGTGAGCATGGTTGGATGCCATATGAATAGAAGATTGATTATCACAAAAAAAAAAAAAATCATAGTGGAAAAGACAAAGAGTTCAAAGTGAGACAACAATCTTTGCAACCAAATGACTTCACTTTCCACAGTTGTAAGTGCTTGATACTAAACCTCTACAACAGTAGAGAAGTAAATGATACTTAATTCTTCGAAATTGAGTTCAATATCCAAGAAGAAACAATGTTTGTTGTTGCGATTCCATGTAGAAAGAAGTTAAGGACTATCATCCCTAGGAAAAGACCCATCAAGAAAGCCAAACTTGTTCTTGTCTGAAAGAGCCATTTCTATCGCACGACTCCATGAATTGTAATTCTCACCATTCAAAGGTTGAGACACACTAGTAGAAAAATAGGATACTACGTCACCCATTTTACGTCGCACATACATACATCCGACGTAATAAAAACGCGGTGGCATGGTTCGTAATTTTAGTGAAATTATTTACGTCGGCCCTATTAGGGTCCTACGTAAATTTTAACATCTACGTCGGCTATGCATTGTGTCCGACGTAGATGTTAAAATTTACGTCAGATCCTACTAGGGCTGATGTAAATAATCCAATCGAGAAATCAAAAATTTAAACCCAAACTCATTTCTCGCGTTGTGCAATGGAGGCCAGGGAGAAATCCGTCCGCCTCCTCCTCAAATCGTGGCTCTTCCTCACTTATGTCTACTTGTTCATCTACATCTTGCTCTCTTCCGGCGTCATTTTGTACAACAAGGTACCCATTTCCCCTTTTCTTCGTTTTCTTCACTTGACAATGTTTTCTCACTGAAAAAAATGGATTTTTTCATGTCTTGGGGCAGTGGGTTCTTTCGCCCAAATACTTGTTCATCCACATGGGGTTTTCTGGGGCGGTTGCATTTGTCCTCGTGAGGGTCTTTAAGGTAAACCATTTTCTTCTACTTGCTACTTTCTTTGTGCAAAATCTTCGTTTTGTTTATTTAGTTCTATGAGGTGGCATCTTCTGCTAAGGTAACCCGTTCTTCATTTTGCGTTGCATTTTGAGTTTTGGAAGCTGGAGAAGGAAGTGGCCAAGTCCAGGTTGGAGAACGGGCCGTTCTCCAACCAGAACGGCCCGTTCTGCTTGCAGTCATTTTTTCTTTTTTTTTTAAATTTTTTACAACTTTTTACGTCGGACCTTGTAATGTCCTACGTAAATTTACGTCGGTTTTCGTGCCCCAACGTAAATTTATGTCTCCCGCTTCTACATCGCAGCTTTTTCCGACATAAAACCCCCTAAAATTACCGACGTAAAATGTATATTCTGTACTAGTGACACCAACACAAAACCAGGATTGTTAGATGGATGGATATAATAAGGATTGGAAAAGTCATCCATGACTATCATGGAGAGAAATGAAGAAAAAATAGGAAATCAGATATTCACGAAGAAAACCTCTGATACCATATTATGAAAAGAAAATAGAATGAAGTAGTATTAGTAAAAGTAAAGTCACTTATATATAGAAGAAATACTAACAGAAAATAGTAGAAAAGTTATACCAGATAACTAATCACAAAATAGAAATTATTAATAAACTGTAATAACATTTGACTCCCAAAACAAGATAAATAAATTATGTTCATAACATCTTATTTGTGTTCTTAACTTGAAGAAGTAGAACATTCCTTCCCTCATACAATGTTATTGATCATAACATTATTATTAAATATAGGGTCTCCTTAGTAAATCTTGAAGTGCTTGATTTGGATGCTTTCTCCTTCAATTTTCTGGAAATTGGCAAACTTTTTCTTAGCTAGGAACTTGCCCCAATTATATGGCTTATATTTGGGAGGGTTTTCCGCATTTGTGAACTCCTCTAAGGGTTCCACCACTGTGAAGTGAGGAACTTGAAGACTGAAGGGAGTTGAAAGCCTTTCCTTCTTAGAGTTCACAACAACTCTGTGCTCAACACTCTGATATGCATCATTGCTCCAAACCTGAGAAACAACTATCTCTTGTTAGCAACTTCATGTTTCATGGACACCAATATATATATATGAGAAGAGTTATAATAACACTGGTATAACTTTTATTAAGTATTACACTGCTCAATAACTTTATATTAAATGTGAATTTTATAAATCCAACTTTTAGATTGAAAGTTCTTTATACTTATATCATATATACAAAATTTTATATTAATATAAGATAATTTGATACTTCATTTTTATAAAATAAAATTGACGTAATATATATATTTTAAAATATACTAATATATGAACACTTTGATTACCTTTAAGTTGTTCAATTTTAACAAAATTTGATATAAACTTTCAATCTAACGGTTGGATTTATAAAATTTACATTTAATATACTAGTTATTCCAAGAGTAAGTTTACTTAATAACTCATGTTCTATATTAAATATTAACGATCTAACTATTGAATTAAAAGTTTTTAATACATAAATCAAGTTTACAAAGTTTTTAAAAAAACTTTAAAACTATTTGATAATCAGTTTCATTAATTCAAATTAACAGATAATCATAAAAACATTATATACATTTAAATGAAACGGAGTATCAAATGATTTTCAAAATTTAAAAAAATTTGCAAACTTATCTATGTATTAAGAATTTTAAATTCAACCGTTGAATCGTTAAAATTTAATATAGAACATGAATTTTTAAATGGAGTAAATCAAGGTACACTTATTCTTAGAATAAGTGGATCCCTACTCATATATATAGATAGATAGAGATAGATGAACGATCCTTTTACTCTAGAAGTAAGTCTACCTAGAGTTATTTCGTTCAATAACTCGTGTTCTATATCAAATTTTAACGATCTAATAATTGAATTTAAAGTTCTTAATACATAAATCAAGTCTGCAAATTTTTAAAAAAGTTAAAAACTATTTGATATTTCGTTTCATTAATTCAAATCAATGTATGAAATGTTTTTATGATTATTTGTCAATTTGAATTAATAAAACAAAAATATCAAATGATTTTCAATTTTTTTTTAAATTTGTAGACTTGATTTATATATTAAGAATTTTAAATTCAATGGTTGTATTATTGAAATTTAATATAAAAATAAATTATTAAACAAAGTAAATTTAGGTAACTCGTGGTACAAATGAATTCCTCCTTTTATATTATATTATATTTTTTTTTTTTCAAGTTTCAATGATACACATTCAAGTATATTAATTTTGATTGAACAATAATACCAATCATACCTAATTAAAGAATTGTACCTAAAGTTTTGGCTAAAAACCTATTTTAATCCCTTATAATAATTTTTTATTTCAATTTAGTCCCACTTTTATTTTTGGTCTCAATTTGGTCCCTAATAAATTAATTGGTTGCAATGTCGGACTTCCGTCCAAATTATTTAGACAGAGTTAACTGTTGGCCACGTGGATGCTACGTGGATGTCACGTGGAAGCTACGTGGATGCCACGTGGAAACTAAGTAGATGCCATGTGGATGTCAAATTTTTGTCATACATCTGGAACTAGAACGGCTCGTTCTGGTTTCACTCTTTATGCGTTAATTTTGCATCCGGAACGGGCCGTTTCGGATGCAAAATTAACACAGTAGGAGTGAAATCAGAACGGGCCGTTCCAATTTCAGAACGGGCCGTTCCAGTTTCAGAACGGGTCGTTCTGGTTCCAGAATGTCATCCATAAATTTTAGATCGTGATGACAATACTTATTCATATATTTGTAATATTAAAAATTTTATATATAATTTTTTTAAGTATAAATATATATTATAGTTATTTTTTACAAGTTTTTATATTCACAATTATGATTAAGGATGAAAATAAACTAGGTCAGATTATGTTATATTATAATTTAACAGATTTAAATCTAATTTTTGTTAAAAATACATGTTATAAATATTATATATTTATCTGTCATAGACATTTTTTAAAATGTTTGGTTACATAACAATCTTAAAAACCTACTTAATAATAATTTAACACTAATAAAAACATATAAATAAATATGTTAAATCTTATAAAAATTAAGTTTAATTTATTTATCATATAAAGATGTTTTTAATATGTGATATAAATTTTTACAAGGCTTAAATATGTTTTTAGTCCCTCAAATTTAGGGTAAATCTATTTTTGATCCCTCAAATTTAAAATTGTTGTTTTTAGTCCCTGTAATTTCAAAAAATCTTAATTTAGTCCTTATATTCAAATTTTGTTAAGAAATTTATCAAACATTATTGCATAAAATCTACCTATTGGTGTCCCTATTAGTGAAAATATCACATTAAATCCGGTTGATATTGCATAACTGTCTTAATTAGTCACTTTCAAATATGTTATTGGTGACCTAAGGGACTAAAACAAGATTTTTGAAAATTACAGGGACTAAAAACAACAGTTTTAAATTTGAGGGACCAAAAACAAATTTATCTTAAATTTGAGGGACTAAAAACATATTTAAGCCTTTTTACAATTTTAATTTTTTTTATCAACATAAACAATAAATAGAAAGTACAAAAGTTTGACAAATATCAGATAAATGAATAACTCCTCGAAATTTATATTTTATACATACGATAATTTAAATATATATATATATATATTAGAATATAATTTTTATTTTTTAAAATATATTATTTGTTAGATAAAAAAAATTGTGTATGTTTAAATGGTTTGCTTTCAATTTTTGAACCACACTAGTGCACTACGTTGGTTGGCGTTCTGGAACGGCCCGTTCTGAATCCGGAACAACCCGTTTTGGATGCCAGAACGGCCCGTTCTGGTATCAGAACGGGCTCGTTCTGGTATCAGAACGGCCCGTTCTGGTTCCAGATGCATGACAAAATTTGACGTCCACGTGGCATGTACGTAGCTTCCACGTGGCATCTACATAGCTTCCATGTGGCCAACAGTTAACTCCGTCTAAATAATTTGGACGGAAGTCCGACATTGTAACCAATTAATTTATTAGAGACTAAATTGAGACCCAAAATAAAAGTGGGGCTAAATTGAAACAAACAATTATTATAAGGAACTAAAATACTATTTTAGCCTAAAGTTTTCCTATAAATATTTGGTATACAATTTAATATTACATGCAAATATTAAAATATGTAAAAAAAGATTGTAAGATCAAATTAATTCACTTATCACTTTCTTATCGTAAGCCAAGTTCCAACATTTGATATTCTAAGTTGCAGGCAATTTAAGGATGGTATGCGTGTGAATTAATAGAAAATGGGATACAGAAAATAAGTGAATGTTGATGTAGCAAACAAATTGACAGCATTATGTATGGTTATATATGTAACAAATTCTGAAATATTTATGAATCATATATTTGGTTAGAGGTTTGAACCTGGATCACATGTACTTAATTTTTATAAAACAAATTTACAAAAGAAAAAATATTGTACCTGAACTACATCTCCAACATTGACAACGTAAGCACCAGGTATGGGCTTGACTTTAACCCATTCACCATCAGATTGTCGCCTAACTTCTAAGCCACCAACATCATCTTGAGGAAGGATAACTAAAGCACCAGTGTCCTTGTGGGGACCGCATCCAAGAACAAGGTCTGGGGAGGGGCAAGGAGGATAATAATTTATCTTCACAAAACTAGATTGATGGCCTTTGAAGAATTCATGAAACCGTTTTGGTGGCAACCCTAAGCTCATAAAAATATACTCCAATAACTTGAATGCTAGGGTTTCCATGACTTTAGCATATTCCTTGCATACCTCTCTGACAACAACAATTAATATCATAATTTTATAAACCACAATGTTATATGCCTTATATTATATTATCAATATTTTTCTCTCTCTTAAATATGCTCTTAGCATCTACAAAATGAGCCAAATATAATTTTGGTTCTTATATTAATTTTTTTGTTTTTATTTTTCTGTGTAAATTTTGAAATCATATGTAAAATGAGTGAATATTATTGGTTTTGATATCTAAAACATTTTTATTTGATGCTCAGCTCCTTAAAATTTGAAATCACTAATTTTCGTTCCTAAGATTATTTTAATTAATTAAGAAAATTAAATAATATTTATTTTAGAAAGTTATTAAAAAAAATTTAATGGTATCACATGTTGCCATGGTATCATAGACATTAGTAATTGTTACCAAGGATGGTCACTTAACCTTCCATTAAAAACACAAACAGGTAAGGAGTGTTACTTGATGATTGAAATAAAGAAAATAAAATAATTTCTTTTATGAGATGAAAACCAAAAAAATAATTACAAAAATTAAAATCAAAACCTTTTCATTCATTATATATAGAGACTAAAACTATATTAATATTTAGTCATAATTTTTATACAAGTTTTACTATTAATCAACGAATCAGTTAAGTGCACAATGATACTACTTCAATGTTTAATGTGGTGTTTGCATATATACAAAACAAACGTTTGATCCATCCATTAGGTAACAGGCTTAAATGAAATTTTAAAAGGAAAACAATAATACGAAAAGCCTTTAGGAAATTGTATCGAAACTTTTTCTACAAGACAGGACAACATAAACGTAAAATCTATCATGTGAAATTCCAATTAGAAAAGGACACATAATACATTTGGCCAAGTATGCTTTTCTAGTTATTTTAAGAATTTATCTCTCTTTTAAAAAAATAAAATAAAGAAGTAAAATTTTTAAATAAAATTAAGATAAATTAAAATTAATTTATAATATTTTTATATCAAATTTTATTTTTGGCTCCCCAATTTTTTTCTTGAAGCTCTCCCATTCAATGAGTTGTTTGGTGGAATAGGTAATATGACAATGAGCACTAAAGCAATTCTAATGGAAGTTGTTTGTCCCATGAAGCAACTCAAACCCGGTTTCTTGTTATTGGAGAACTCTGACGTGGCAACATGAGTTGCTTGAAGAAGAGAGAGTTGCTTCCTCAAGCAACCGTTCCTTACCAGATTTCAAGCAGATCTTATTGAACATATTTGAGAACGTTTCGAAAATAATAATGATGAAAATTAATTTCGTATAATATTTATGTATTTATATTGCTTTATTTTATTTTTAATATCTACTTATTGTGTATTTTTTATCGTAATTTATTTTCTTTCATTGTAGTATAATTATCCTTTTTAATAAAGATTTAAATTTGGTTCATAAATGATTAGAAAAAAAATTCTAAAAATTGAATTTCTTAAAGTTTCTTACCATTAAAGTAAATTTGTGTTTGAGTTGCTTAATGCTGACATAGTACACTAGAGATCACTTTTTTCATTTTTCAATGCATGAAACAACTCAAATGAGTTGCTTCCATTGGAGATGCCCTTATATTATCATCGGTTTGCATGTTAACTGACATATTTTAAAGAAGTAAATTTATATTTTTAAAACTCATCTCCATCTTCATCCCGATTGAATTTTGATAAGTTTGAGTAAATTCATGAAGATCCAACACTTTTTTTTTAGAATTTCAATTTATTTACACATTTTAAATAAATTAAATTATGAATTAATAATTATGTTATGATATAAATAATATATAAAAAATAATAAATAAGAAAGAAATTATAAATAAAATATATTATTATTATTAAGTGACATATATATTGCACATTTGCATGCATGTTGATAGAGATTTACCTAAACTCCGGTGGATTCTGAGGCCACTTGTTATTCCATTCATAGATTTGGTTGTCGTTAAGGTCAATTGAAAGTGGCATCAAGGTGGGTTCCTCCACAACAAACTCATACGACTCTTTCCAGTCTTTAGAATTTTGGGTGTGCTCAGAGTCATAATACCCCATCACTTGCACAATATCCCTTCTAACCTTATTTTTCTCATCCTTATTCAGATTAAAGAACTTCCTCGAAACAGCATCAACCTTCGCATGACTTTCTTCAGTTCCATGGTTAATCACTTGGAAGAACCCCCACTCCTTGCATGCATTGCCTATGGCCTTCACGATCTCACCAATGGCTGAAGGGTCTGACATGCCAGAGAGATCTATCACTGGAATGCCCTCTTCGTTCAGAGTGTGTTGGGGTCTGCATTCTGGCTCCCGAATGAAACTTGGATCAATGTCTCCCATTCTTAGTTATGATCGATTTGATATTTATCCTATTCCAATAAGAAGGAAGAAAGTGTTCAATACTCAATAGGTTGTAAAATCTGGCAATAACTTTTTAATGAGTTTTCCACGTAAAAGAAAAATTTCAATGTGATCAACAAAAAAAATCCAAGAGAGTCTTTATTAAATGCACCAAAGAATGTTTACATTTAGTCAAATAAAACAAAACACAATCGTATATAAATGAAAAACAAGAAGAAAACTTTGCTTTAGTTAATGTCTAATGTTAACACCATATAGTAAATGAAACATTTAATTTTAAAATTTTAAAAAGAAAATGTAAAGACACCTTGTTTACAAACAAACACATGTTTAAAGAGAAAATATATATAACAAAAACAATGGAATGCAATTTTTCATATTTTAACACATACATATTCATAAAAGAGTGTTATAACATAGTTTTTTACCTTTAGCAGAGTAATATATATACAAACACCAAGTATAACAAAAATAATTTTATATATATATATATATATATATATGAATTTCTTAAAGTTTCTTACCATTAAAGTAAATTTGTGTTTGAGTTGCTTAATGCTGACATAGTACACTAGAGATCACTTTTTTCATTTTTCAATGCATGAAACAACTCAAATGAGTTGCTTCCATTGGAGATGCCCTTATATTATCATCGGTTTGCATGTTAACTGACATATTTTAAAGAAGTAAATTTATATTTTTAAAACTCATCTCCATCTTCATCCCGATTGAATTTTGATAAGTTTGAGTAAATTCATGAAGATCCAACACTTTTTTTTTAGAATTTCAATTTATTTACACATTTTAAATAAATTAAATTATGAATTAATAATTATGTTATGATATAAATAATATATAAAAAATAATAAATAAGAAAGAAATTATAAATAAAATATATTATTATTATTAAGTGACATATATATTGCACATTTGCATGCATGTTGATAGAGATTTACCTAAACTCCGGTGGATTCTGAGGCCACTTGTTATTCCATTCATAGATTTGGTTGTCGTTAAGGTCAATTGAAAGTGGCATCAAGGTGGGTTCCTCCACAACAAACTCATACGACTCTTTCCAGTCTTTAGAATTTTGGGTGTGCTCAGAGTCATAATACCCCATCACTTGCACAATATCCCTTCTAACCTTATTTTTCTCATCCTTATTCAGATTAAAGAACTTCCTCGAAACAGCATCAACCTTCGCATGACTTTCTTCAGTTCCATGGTTAATCACTTGGAAGAACCCCCACTCCTTGCATGCATTGCCTATGGCCTTCACGATCTCACCAATGGCTGAAGGGTCTGACATGCCAGAGAGATCTATCACTGGAATGCCCTCTTCGTTCAGAGTGTGTTGGGGTCTGCATTCTGGCTCCCGAATGAAACTTGGATCAATGTCTCCCATTCTTAGTTATGATCGATTTGATATTTATCCTATTCCAATAAGAAGGAAGAAAGTGTTCAATACTCAATAGGTTGTAAAATCTGGCAATAACTTTTTAATGAGTTTTCCACGTAAAAGAAAAATTTCAATGTGATCAACAAAAAAAATCCAAGAGAGTCTTTATTAAATGCACCAAAGAATGTTTACATTTAGTCAAATAAAACAAAACACAATCGTATATAAATGAAAAACAAGAAGAAAACTTTGCTTTAGTTAATGTCTAATGTTAACACCATATAGTAAATGAAACATTTAATTTTAAAATTTTAAAAAGAAAATGTAAAGACACCTTGTTTACAAACAAACACATGTTTAAAGAGAAAATATATATAACAAAAACAATGGAATGCAATTTTTCATATTTTAACACATACATATTCATAAAAGAGTGTTATAACATAGTTTTTTACCTTTAGCAGAGTAATATATATACAAACACCAAGTATAACAAAAATAATTTTATATATATATATATATATATATATATATATAATGACTAGATATACATATACCAAAGCTTAGGTCTACCCAAATCAAATACATAAAAGAAAAAGATTCTAGACTCAGAGCAATCATCACTAAATCTAGTCATGTATGTCAAGAAAACAACAATTTTAATTAAAGCCTTACCAACAAGTTGACAATTTAATCGATTCTCACTAATTTTTGTTACAAAACCTCTTAATTAAGTGCTTTTACATAATTTAGTTTGTATGACAATTATTGGGAGTACATCCCTCACCATGGTACAATGGCGGGGTCTCAACAACTAATGATTGCTCGTATTTGTAACACCCCTCAAATTTAATATTTTAATAGTTCCATTCCATGAAATTTCACATAGTGATACTTTACATAACTTCTCATGGGTCAGAACCCTTCATCGATCAAAACCTTTCATGAGTAGCCTTTTCTAAGATCAACAATTGTCATCACAAATCAATATAAGACTTTTCAACGTGTTTTGTCCTTATTTGCACGCTTTCTGGGAAAATTTCTAAAAAAGTCACCTATCCTTAAATTGCTCCAAGATAAGCACATTTAACTATGGAGTTCTTATGTGATAAGCTACCTAAAAATAAATACATCTTGTTGATATAAGAAGTATAATTTAATCTCTACAATCCATCCTCAACTACACTATCTCACACATGTACAATCTATGGATCCCTCTCATTTTGGTGTGTTTGGGTTGTTACAAGCCTACCAACTTCTGTCTAGTTGGTCCCTGAATGACATCGTACTAGGAAAGAGAATTTGCTCTGATACCATTTGTAACAACCTTCAAATTTGATGTCTTAGTAACTCTACTCCTAGTCACTTCACACGATGACATTTCACACAACTCTTCATTAGTCAAAATCATTCATTGATCAAAACTCTCTATGAATAGCCCTTTTTGAGATATCTAATCATCTCTATGATCAATGATTTTTCCTACAAACCAACACAAGACTTCTTAATGTGTTTTGCCCTCATTCGCAAGCTTTTTGGAAAACTTCCAAAAAGATCACTCATCCCTAAATTGCTCTAACTCAAGCACACTTAATTGTAAAGTTTTTATGTGATGAGTTACAAAAAAGTAGATGCATCTTATTACTATAAATAATACAAATTAATTTCTGTAAATCATTTTCAACTACACAATCTCACACATGTGCAATTTATGTATCTCTCTCGTTTTAATGTGTCTAGATTGTTACGGTACTTAGTTTGGGTTGCTTGGTTAGTATGTTAAAATTAGGGACACAACCCAACACCTATACCTCAAAGGATGACCATGCCGTATACAACAATCTTTCTAGGTACTAACTTAGGTCATCCACACTCTAAGGTAGGCATGGCAACGGGGCAGGCGGGGGCGGGTTTTACGTTCCCCGCTCCCACTCTTGCAAATTTAAACCGCTTCCGCCCCCGCCCCCCATACCCGCCTGGGGCAAAATTTGGGTCCCCATCCTCGCCCCCGGCAGGGTTTGGGTTTCACCGCCCCGCCCCCGCCCCGACTCCTATTTTTTTTTCTTCTCTTTTTTTCTTTTTTTCTTTTAAATAAATATATTTAAAAAAATAAAAAAAGTAAAATAATATAAATTTTTATATATAAATATTTCTAATTTTAGTTTATATATATATAAAAATAACTTTTTAATTATATTATTAAACGGGGCGCGGGCGGGTATGGGAGTAAGGGTGGGGTGGGTATTAACATCCTCGCGCCCGCCCCCGCTCCCGATTTTATCAATCGGGGAAAATCTGAACCCGAACTCGAATCCAATAAACACGGATTTTCTCGATCTAAATCGGAGCGGGTTTGGACAGATACTCACAGGGGCGGGTTAGATTGCCATGCCTACTCAAAGGAGATAGACTCCTCAACACACTCCTCACTAGGTGTTTACCTTTTTGTCACTATATGGTTTTGTGGAATAAAGTACAGGATGACAACGAATTGGCATACAAGCATTGAGACCCATCTGAAGCTCCTTAATTCTTTTGATGACCTCATCTTTTGCACTCCACTCGGTGCACACACCTTTCTACCTCCATTATCATTTTCCTCCAACTAGATATCCTACATGACTTTCTTTTCTTGTCGGTGTGGGTTCAACTGCTCTTGATTGCAAATGACATTAAACTAACACACAAGCATTGGGACTCGTCTCTAGCTCGACAAAACTTGTCATTCCAAGGACATTTGCCTCTCTCACCTTAGAAGGTAAACATTGTGAGTTCACCTATATTTAATGAGCTTTAACATTCTCACAGTCAGAATGCCCCCACATGACTATTTTTTATTTTATGTATTTTCGATGTCTCACCATACACAAGCGTTTATATAAGTCTACCTAGATTTACTTCGTTCAATAATTCATATTTTACATCAAATTTCGATCCAACCATTCAATTTAAAGATCTTAATGCATAGATCAAATCTGCAAATTTTTAGAAAATTTAAAAATTTAGAGTTTAATTTAGAGTTCTTAATCATAAAATCATTTTATACATTAATTAGAATTAATGAAACGAAATATCAAATAATTTTCAAATTTTTTAAAAATTTACAGATTTGATCTATGCATTAAGAACTTTAATTGAACGGTTGAATCATTGAAATTTAATATAGAACATAAGTTATTAAACAGAATAAGTCTAGGTAAACTTACTCCTAAAATAAACATATCTCTCTTTTATATATATATATATATATATATATAAAATGTATTAATTGCTAATTTTATTTTGTACCCTTAATTATTATAAGTCTATTAATAAACTACTCACTAATTTTTCATAGAAGTGAATATATTATTGAGCTACTAACAATGTAAGTCACACTCAAGGAAATGCGATGACACTAGAAGTGAAATTTCTTTGATAAACTTCTATTGACCCCCAGTTTGACAAGTATATTCTTGGATCAAGTTAAGTACTATTAAACTTCTACTAAATATTAAGTCAAAATTGGTACTTGGCTTAAGAATCTCTAATATGTCATTGACTCATTGATAATTTTGAAAGTGTCAAATTTCTCATTATGTTGAAAATCAACCCGTATCACACTAACAATCACCTACACATACATTTCCAGTAATCGAGGCTCACACTCCTCTCGATCTCCAATGCATTTCATTTCAAAATAAATATATCACACATCAATTAACAATTGTCTAAAATTCACACCACGGATCTTTCATTTAATTTGAAACAGTAGGCTAAAACAATTACCCATAAATTACTAGAAACAAATAATGCAATAGACAAAGGATCACTAGAAATTTATGTTAACAATTTTAGCAAGTTATACATTTAGCCATCACAACATCGATCCCTATATATTAAATATAAATAATTATTTTGTGTAAAAGTATTTTAAGAAAAGTTTCTTTGACAAGATTATTTTTAAGAATTTTTTTAGTTTCTTATTTAATTCAGATTTTATTTATCATAATTATTTATAAATTAAATTTTACTATTTAAAAATCAATCTCTATATATAAAAATGAATGACTATTTTGTGTAAAAACGTTTTTTTTGATGAAATTTTTTTTAATAGTTCCTTTAACTTCATATTCAATTTGATTTTTATTTATCATAATTATTTATTAATTAAATTTTAATATTTTTTATATATAAAACAAGAATGATTATCTTGTGTAGGAGTATTTTTAGAGATTTTTTTATACAAAAAGATTTTATGAGATTCCTTTAACTTTTTACCTAATTCGATTTATCATAATTATTTATTAATATTTTACAATAAATTATCAATAAACAAAATAATCTCGTGGTACAATATAATTTTTTTAATCATAAATATAAAATATAATTTTTTAATTTAAAAATATCTATTTATTCAAATTTGAAATTAATCCCTATATATACATAAGAACAACTATCTTGTGCAACAACCATCTTATGAATTGTTTTTCAACAAAAAGAGTTTTTAAAGATTTTTTTAACTTTATGCTTAATTTTATTTTTATTTATCATAATTATTTAGACTTAAATATGTTTTTAATTTCTATAAAAATAATGATTTTGATTTTAGTCTATCTAAATTCTTTTTTTTTTGTTTTTCATCTTTCTAAAATTTATAAACATTGTTTTTGTCCTTGTAAAATAATTAAATTTTTATTTTGATTCATATAAAATATTTTTCTTTAGTTTTCATCCTTCTAAAATCTAAACCAACTATTTTTAGTCCCTAATGATTATTTTAAGATAAATAAATAACACTTATATTAAAGATCCATAAATTTTTTAGAAGTGTTAAATATCAATATGATACCAGTAATAGTTGTAGGTAACACTTAAGATTATTAATTAACTTTTTAATAGATAAAAAATAGTTATAAAATGATCACATAAAAATAGAGACTAAAAATAATATTTTTAATTTTATAAGAATAAAAAACAAAAGAAATTTTTTTACTAGAATTAAAATCAAAACTTATTAATTTTATAGGAACTAAAAACATATTTAAGTCTAATTATTTATTAATTAAATTTTAACTTTTAAATAAATTATCAATAAACTGAACTTATGTTGTGTTATAATATAAATTATTTATCATGAATAAAAATATAATTTATACATTTAAAAATATCTATTTATTCAAATTTTAAATATAATTTATATATTCAAGCATATTATTTATTTATATACATAAATTATTTAATTTTTAGTTATATATAATAAATATTTAACATTGCATTATACAAATTAGAATATTAGTTTAATCATAAATTAAGTATAATTATGCTGCCTAACATACCACAATTATTCTACTAATAAAAAGGAAAGGAAACATGCTCCTAAGAAAATTAATAAAACAATTTTAATACTAAAGATTTTTACAAAGAGACATGGTTGATTTAAAATAACTTTCTTGAATGGTATCCCATTGGTTAAATATAAATTTATAAAACTATAGAAATTCTAGAAACTAGCGTGGTAAAACTAAATCTATATATGGCATAGTTCAAAAATTTGCAATTTTCTCTTTTCCCGAATTCAAATTGCATGAGACTTTTTACACATTAAAGTCAAAACATTTATCTTTCCAAAGGGTTAAAGTGTGTGTGAAAATTCATTTCTACAATTACTCAAGTGCATGAGACTTTTTAAGGTAAAGTTTGTGTGAAAATTCAGTTTCTAGATTCCCCGCAACTTAACTTTCACTTCTTAGAACATCTTTAATGAAGTTGCTTATAAACAATTTCTTGTGCTTAATCACTGCCAAATTAGCTTTAGCCCACTTTATGGGTTTCCATATTGCAGATGGTCTTAGGCCAACTTCCGATAACAACACAAACACTTTGAGAACCTAGTTTCAAACGACCTAATTAATTAAAATATAGCAAATGACTTTGGAAAATTTTGTACCATACATCCCCAGAAAGATATTTTTCTCCAGTTTTAAGAAATATTTTTAATTTTTCAAAAAAGGTTTTCAAAGGTGCAGAATTGAGACATTGTCAGACCAAATTGCCAAAACATAGCTCTTGTTCCGCCTTGATGAGCTTGAAAACAAACTCATCTCACAAAGTGTAGATCATGAAAGTTGTTCCATTTTTTTTCCTCTGTTTCACTTAAAAGAGGTTTTAGATATATGACACACACCGTGGAGGCTATCTCGTAGAGACTCTCATTCCAGCACTACCACTTGTTCTAGTTGTGTGTGCAAGTTCAAAAATTCCCTTACCCCAAAACTCAAACAAAATTTTGCAAAGCCTTCCTTATTTCTAGAACATTTCCAACGTATTCTAACAAGCCAAACCGAAAGAAGAATGCATAGATAACAACATATCGAAATTCAAATGGCACAAAAACAGCATGCATGGCACAATCAAATTGAATGATGGCACTACAATAAGAGACTTTCCTTGGCTGGAACCTCCAAGAACAACCATGGTTTTTGAGTTTACAAGGAAGACCTATTTTACCTATACTTGGATGGAGAGGTAGGTTGGTAGGGTGGAAACAAGTTGCATGCAACCAAGGAGTATACAAAGAGTGTTGCTTCTTCTTCCTCCAAAAATCACGGCCAGAATCTCCAAATGGATCGCTTGCTTGTCTCCAATTATCTCTAAGTCTCGATTGCTAGCTAGTGTATATATGGACTATGGAGAGTGAATGGTTGAGAAAATTTAAAGTGATGGCATTTTGGATGGTAATTAGCTGTGGTTATTCAGATCAGGTTGAGTGGTGTCACATATGCACATGCAAAATGCTTAGGTGCGCGTGGGTGAGAGTACTGAAATGTGTGCTTGAGTGGTATGGCCGTGTGTGAATTGAAAGATGATAGTACTTGTCGGTGTGGTGGAGTGTGCAGTGTTTGTTCTCTTATGTGGCTGTTCCATTTTTTATTAATTAATGCAAATGTCCCTCATTCAAAAAGAATGGGCAAAATCTCCCTGTTTTGTAAATCATTGCGAAACCAAATTTTTTATTAATGAAAATGTCCCTCATTAAAAAAAAATGGATAAAATGTCCCTCTTTTCTAAAACATGTAGAATGGGCAAAATGTCTTTCTTTTGTAAATAATTGAGAAGTGGGGAATTCAGTACCTAACTTCTCAATTATTTTATATTTTTAATGTAATTAAAGTTTGTGTAAAGATAATATATTGAGAGTGTTTAATCTTTTGTATTATAAATATAAGTTAAGTTAATTGTTATATGAATATTATCCTTAATTGATAAAAAAAATCTAGTATTTTTCTAATACCCGAAATATATTATAAATATATTTAAAATTTCATTAATTTTTTTTTAATATTTCATGGAAACCTTGTTATAATAAACCCAAAAGATTTTTTTTACGTCGTCCCTATTTCATTTTTTATCAATCTAAGTGTCTCTCATTTAAAAAAAAAAAATGGACAAAATGTCTCTCTTTTGTAAACCGTACCATTGAGAAGTGGGAGTTGAGGACCCGACTTCTCAATGTAATTTTTAATTATTTTATATTTTTGATTTATAAAATATATTTTTAATATAATAAATATACATTTTAAAATATGAAAAATATAAATTAAAATAAAATATATTATTATATTAATTAAATTTTTTCAATATATGATATATTTTTTAAAATATTAAAAATAAATATTTATTTTTTATTTAAATAAATTTTTATTTTACAGAAGAAAAAATGTTAGAAATCATCAAACACTTTTTCATTAATACTATCTTTACACAAATTTTAACAAATTTTACTCGACTAAATTTCTTTATTATGAATGAATTCTTGTTTTACAAATTTTACATCAAAATGCACAACAAACATGATTTTTTACTAATTTTTCTGCGAATTAAAATCTGCAGAAATATTTTCATGGATAATAAGTTAATAAGAATTTTAAAATTTGCATGAAGTTTTTTAGAAATCTTTTTTGCAAGTAATTTTTTTGCCAAAAAACAAATTGCAAGTAATGTTTTTTTTTTCTTTCAAAAATAGTAAATTTCTTGTGAATATGAAATTTGTAAAAATATCTCTAGGTAAATTTCCTAGGAATTTTGAAATCCTAGATATATTTCTTGCAAAATTTAAAGTTGGTTGGTGAGTTTCTTGGACCTCTAAGACTATATGATTGTGAGTGCCTCACGAGTAGATGCCTTAATTGGCAAGAAAAAAATAGTTAACATGCAAGAGGGTACTAAAGTGGGAAACTTAAATAACAAGAAAAAAAAAAATTATAGTTAATTAATTTGGTGTATATGTTTCACTATAATAAATGTCACATATATTAATATACAAAAAAGTGTTATTATAAGTATATTATATATAAGTATATATCTATTTGGCATATAGTTATACACAATTTTAGTATTAATTTTGAATAAAATTTAACAATATCTTATATATGTCACTATAGCTTATATCCACACTTTTTTTAACAATATACTAATATATATTATATTTATTGTTTAGATAAAAATATTTTTTAATAACACTTATTGTATCACTATAGAATGTATGTCACTATACGATAATTTTATTGTAGTGTGTGAGTGTCGGTGTGCAGTGAAAATTGAAATTGGGGATAAAGAGTACATTTTGTTACAGTTGAGACTACTTTAAGAAGATTGATCCGGTGCCCTTCAACATAATCCAATTTAATAATTTCGTTTTTGTTTTATTTTAAAAATTATTTTTTAAATTAAAATTTATTATCATTAATTTATCATATCTATAAGATTTAATTAAAATAAATATTTAATTTACTTAATATTTAATTTAAAATTAATTAAATGAGATATTTATAAATAATTTAGTAAAATAATATTTTGTTATGTCAAAAAGTTTTAATTTTTTAAAATTATAAATTTAAACAAATTCCTTTTATTTTTTTTTCCACATATTAGAACTGGCAGGAAAATTTACTTATATGATATTTTTCCTACAATTTATTAAAATATTATTAAATATTGCCTAGGAACTTATTTTCACAAGAAAATATAAAAAATATAAAAACAAAAGAAAATTCCTATAACCTTTTCTTGTGAATTTTAACTCTAAAAAAAATTATGTTTAATATAATGGCAATAAAATTTACAAAAATTTCTTTTGCAGATTATTTTTCATAAAAAAATCTATAAGAAATTATTGCAATTTATTTTTACAAAAAAATTGCAAAAGCTTCTTAGAGATTTATTTTTGCAAGAAAGTTTACAAAATATTCCTGTAGATTTTATTTTTTAGGAAAACAATATTTTTTTTAGTAGTGTTAGCACTAAATTAGAAGAGAAAAATAAGTTGAGAACAAAATTAATAAGTTTTAATAAATTTCAATTTATAATAAAAAATTATTAAAAATAAAGTATATTATAGCGAGTGTGGTGAGTATTCCTCTTAAAACAAATTCCGAGAATGTGATTACAATTGATTCCCCCACCTTAGCATTCACGCTCTGAAAGATGGAAGAGAAAAACATTTTCCCATTCCACTGTACAAGAATTGCATGATTGCTCCAATATTTTCTCTCTTGAATATTGAAGTTAGCTCAGTGTTATATTATCTAATTTATCCGTTATGATGTATATTGTTAAAGTGATAATTTTAATATTATTCTATAATTGGTATCGGTGTATGGAAGCAATTATTTATTGTATATTTCGAATACATATTTTAAAAGGTTAATATATTTTAATTTATTTGATACATGGCCTGCTATTCAAGCTTGTGTGCCGATATGTGTTAAAACGTGCTATGCAAATATTTTAAGAATTGCTTCCAAAACTTTCATTGTAATTCATATTTAGAATAACAAGGAATTTTTTTATCTAGTTAGGACATAGCAAAGTAAATATACATTGCATTTAAATTTAAATCTCGAAGTAAGAACTTTGATTAATTATTTCACCAAATGACCACACCTGATTGTGCCTAGGTCTATTATTATTGAATCATAGTAAAAAGGAAATATTCCGTGAGACTAACTTTAGGATATTGAAGCATTGATAATTTATAGTCATCATTTGATTCCATGACTTTGATTCAGTCTCCCAATGACTCAATAATAGTGTAAATACTTTTGATTTAAGACTTAGGTCAACGCCTAGCTAATAGATTGTTATATATTTTTTTTCTTTTTGTTGAAATGATATTGTTAGAATTCGCAAGCAAGGATGAGTCACCTACACATAAGGATAAATGTTGTTAGTTGCTAATTATGACTAATGACTAACTTTAGGTGAAAGATTCTCAAATTAAACTAATATTTATGCTTTTTTTTTATAACAGTGAGAACATATTAGAATGAGAAGGATTAAAAAATTTATACATGTGTGAAATTGTGTAATTAAGAATGACTTAAAAGAATTAAATAGTATTGTCTATAACAATAAAATGTATCTATTTTTTTGGTAGTTTGTCACTTAAATTCCATAATTAAGCGTGTTTAACTTAAAATAATTTAAGGGTGATTGACCTTCTAAGAAGCTTCCAAAAAGTGTGTGGGTAAGGACAAAACACACTGAAAATTTTTTATGTTGGTTTATGAGGATAGTGGAGTCGTTGATCCTAAAGGTGGTTAGGCATCTTAAAAATGACTACTCACAAAGGATTCTGGTAGGTAAAGGTTTCTAACTAAAGAGGAATTATGTGAAGTGTCATCATGTAAAGTGTGGTGAAGTACAATTGCTAAGACGTCAAATTTGAGGAGTGTTATACTTTCATATGTAAATATTTTAGAAAATATAATGAATAAGGAGAATGGTTGAATTGATATATTTTCATTCCTATTTTTATTAAAAAGCTTGTGGAATACATTTATAGGAGTTTGATATAACAAACTTGGGAGCAGAATAACAAACTAAATCAGTTGCCTATCACTAATAACAAATAAGATTAACGAAAAGATAAATAACAAATAAGTTGAATTAAAAGATAAATAACAAATAAGACAAAACTCTATACTTTGATTTAATGGATGATCACGAGATTGTAGTTTATTTCTTTGTTTTCCAAGAGATTCGACTATTTCCTAATTTCATAAAGTAACCAGAAATTAATCTTCTTGTAGTTGGGCAAGATGCCCAATTTGAATCACAATATGCTATCAATTTGATATCAGAATTTCTAGACAGCAAAAGTCCTTGACCTAGAGTGAACCTTAGGTAACAAAGAACTCTCAAAGCAACATCTTGTAATACCCTACGTTTTTGCAATTAGATTAATAATATTTTTGTTATAAAATTTAAAAAGTTGAGGTTATAAGGTATTTTAAGGTTCAAATTATATTTTATATATTTGTTTTGATGAAGATTATATTTTAATATAATATTTTATTGTTATTATTATTATTATCATTATTATAAAGTGAGGCGAAGATAGGTAATCAGAGTCAAGGTTGAGTAACCATTGATGAGTTAGAGGGAGGTTAAGTTAGGTGTAATATTAAAAAGAGAGACACGTCAATTTCTACTCACACTTTCATTTTTCTTTTTTACACTTTAAAAAACTAGGAGGAGAGGAGACAAGAGGAGATCGTTTCGAAGACCCACATTCTTCGTTGTTTGTTGATAGAGTTAAGGAAGGGAGTGAGAATTTTCGCTCTAAGACATGGGATAACTAATGGATAGTGAGGTTGGCCCCTAACCTTTATGTGTTGTATGTGTTACATGAAGGGAGAAATCTCAATTATTTTCTATTCTTGTTTATTATCTGCCACATGATTCTATTGCTCTTGAATTACTATGAATTGTGAGTATATATGATTCATTATGTACATTAAGCCTATTTGGTATGAAT